ACCCGTCCGTGGCTCGCCACCGCCCACCAGACGGGTCGCCACCGAGAACGGTCACAAAATGTCCACCGAACAGCGGCCGAGTCGGCGACAGCCATTGGCCACCACGGCGGCAGCGCTGTCTGCTGCTGTCGGCTGCTGTCGGAGCTGCATCCGCTGCTGTCGGTTGCTGTCGGCGGTGCCAGTTTTTACCAAGCCGGCGAACAGCGACGGCCGATGGTGAGCGGACACAGCGAGCGGTGATTCGGTCCGCCTTTCTTGTGCCAGTGGCATGCGCTGGACTGTCTGTTCCAGTTGTTAGCTGGCTCGTGCCGTGCCGACCGCGCCCTTTCACTCACGAGCTCTCGACATCGTTAGACGGGACACGCTCTTCCAGAGTGAGCCGGTGACTCGCTGTTTGGTCCGCGCTCCGTCACTCTGCCCGACCTGCGCTCCGTCACTCTACCCGTCCCGTGCTCTGTCACTCTGTCCCGTTCACGGCCCTTTGCTCCGTTTACACTCCCCTTCCTACCTAGGCACAAATCCCACCGGCTCACCCACCGATCAAAGCCGTCCGTTATCAGGCTCACAAACAGCATTGTGTCTGCTGAGAAATTGATAACAGCCCTCTTTTTAAACGTCTCATTTTGCCTGATATACGTCAAGATTAATTATCAATGACTGATTCACAAAAACGTAAGTAGCATCATGCTTGCACGCGACTTGTTTTCGCGTCATGCAACGCGCACTGAACGGTCTCGGGTGAGCGATTCCTTTGATGCTCCGCGAAGTTCAACTTCCATTTGGTATGTTTGCACCGCGGTAGGGTTTTCCGCTTCGGTTGATCTTGATGTGGATGGCCGGTCGTTGCATCCGTCGGGTCCAATTACTGGTGAGTCTATCGACGGTCGGAGTTTTTACCGGCTCAGGCGGACCGCCAAACAGTCTGAGGGTGCGAGCCGCGAGTGACGCCGAGCTCTCTCTCGCTCTCTCTCTCTCTCTCTCTCTCTCTCTCTCTCTCTCTCTCTCTCTCTCTCTCTCTCTCTCTCTCTCTCTCTCTCTCTCTCTCTCTCTCTCTCTCTCTCTCTCTCTCTCTCTCTCTCTCTCTCTCTCTCTCTCTCTCTCTCTTTCTTTTTTTCTTTGTCATCGCTTTCATTATTAATTCATCTAAGACATTCGCATGCACTGGCCATTCCAATGACCTTCCAAAATCAATTGACATGTCACCTCGAGGCTCTATATCAGCTCTACCGGTGCCGATGCACCGGCAAATCTCCCTCCCCCACTACCCTATACCGCCATCCCGTCACTGTCCAGACGGACAATAGCAGTGTCGTTAGGCGCTCGTTACAGTCACTGCCCCGTGTTTTGGGTTCTGCGGTGCTAAAATTACCGGCTCACATGCCCCTGTCATCCGTCTTCGCCTGCTTACGACGGCCGCCGACGCCGACGACGATGACGTCACCGAGCGTCGTTGGCGACGAAGTGGGGCGAGGGGAGCGGTGCGGCCGCCGTCCCTGGCGTACAGGTCACCACAGAGCACAAATACAAAAACAGGGCGGCACTCGTAGATCTCACACTCGTAGAGTTCCACTTATGAACCACCAAATCACGCCGGAGTTGACACACGCCGGACACGGGCGGAGCGGGCACGGGCAGAGCAGAGTGCTCATGGTGACAGAATTATGGGGCAGGCAGAAGGCAGCACAAACTTTGGTCGGAAGACGGCCGCAAAAAAAGGTCGTTCCTCTGCGGCCACAACTCAGCGGGCGCCGGTCGTTTGTCGCCCCCTCTGCCTCGCTCCCGTCCCGCTCCCGTCTGACATCTGTACGAGGAGGGGGGGGGGGTGACTGGAGGGGGCTGCGCACCACGTGTGACGGCCGCGCGTAACGCGGTGCGACAGCGCGTCACGCCGCCGACGGCCTCCTCCGTAACCCGAGTCGGCAACTATGCGCCGCCGCCGCCGCCGGCGCGCCGCCCTCGCCGCCGCCGCGCCACATTACGCCGGCCATCCGTCATACTGCGCCGGCTAATTTTGTAGACCGGCGAAAAATATTTGCTTAAATGGCGTCGCCGGTCTGCGGTTGGAGGAGGCGGCGGCGCGTGGCGCGCGGCGACATGCCGCCAGCCACGGCGCCGCCGCCGCCGACCGTCCGCTATGCAAACAGCCGCCCGGGAATCGATACGGTCGTAAGGAAGGGCTCATCGGACTGCCGGGTCGGTCCGCAGCGCAGCAGGAGCACGCACCACTCCTGAGAGAAAGAGGAGTGGGAGGAGGAGAGAGGAGGGCAGAGAGCGGACAGACCCGGACACTAATTGGGAGAGAGCGGAATTCCGTGTTTGGAGCTGACGCACCGACTCGACGGGGCAGTCAGAAGTTCGACGGAGCAGTCAGAAATTCGACGGGGCAGTCAGAAATTCGACGGGGCAGTGAGAAATTCGACGGAGCAGTCAGAGACTAGACGGGGCAGTCGGAGACTCGATGGGGCAGTCAGAAGTTAGACGGGGCAGTCGCGACGGGAACGGACCGGCGACCCTCGAGCGGCTGTGTGCCACTGCCACTGTCTGTCATTAGCTGTCTGTGAGAAAAAGAGCCCGTCTGCCTGTCTGTCTGCCAATGGATGTGTAGCAGGCTCCTTTCGAGAAATGTCTTATGATCCAGCCTCGGGCCGCGATACCCTGTCCCAGAACCGGCCTGCATCCCTTCCCCAGCCCGCGGTACCATGTGCTGTAACCCCACCCCCTCCCAGCCCCGCCAACCGTCGAAGTGCCCCTGGCGCTGCAGTTCCGGCCGCCCGGGTGACAGCTCAGATAGGAGCCGAGTGATGGCTCGTGTCGGCCTGTTTACAGAGACTCAGCGGACGCCATGTTTCTCGACAAATGAGCCGTGCAGCCGTAAATAAACACCTCCGCCGCTATTTATCATTAGGGCTCCCGACCAATCAGGGGAGCGGGGCTGTAAATTAAATCTAAACGGGTAGTCCTGCACGGTGTAGACCTTTTTACGTCTCGCGACATGATCTGTTTAACAATTTCCGAGCGATACCTTAGGAAAAGTTAAAGTGATTTTGTTCACAGGTCACGGCAGGAAGTTAATTTGAAATTTGAATCCTCTAAGCCATCATACCCTCAAATGTACAAATGCATTGACTCGAAAGAGTTAGGTAATAGGCAATGTCAGCGAAACTGTGAAATCAAACAAAAACCATTATTTAGATGAGGTTACAGACTTAATAAAATATAAACATCAGGCACCAGTGTCGAAACAGTAACAAGAACTGTGTTTAGTGTTACCTGCTTAATTACGACACTTATTACCTAAATGTCAGTTGAAACATAAAGGGCCTCATTCAGTTCCTCGAACTGAGCATCAATTTACAAGTTTGAAGTGTTGTAGGTACTGCGTACTTTCCATATTCCAACGTCAGATTCCTTACACCATGATGACATTGTCGACCCACATTCCATGCCATATTGCCATATGCTTTGTCATATACCTGCCATAAATCCTCAAAGGTAGGTAAATAAAAACAAATAACAAGTGCTCCATTTCTCGGTAATCTACCCAGTCGGGTTACACAGCTAAATGACTTATGCATTTTACGCTTTATCTTATCTTTGCAGTTACTTTATGCTTCTAAACGACTTCAACGAAGCATTCTTCCTATGAGAAGACTGGCTAAGCTTTATACGGCCATAAATTGTAACGGTTTGATCGAGTCCTCCGCGTGACAGGCGATAAATGCGATCAAAGATAAGAAACACAGTCTCGGTCCATCTCAAATTCCATGAAACTTGGAGATGCTTCAGAATCGATAAGAGGCTTTTACATCCGTGATATTTTAGATGTCTTCCTCGTGTAGTGTACTTTGGGACACCATAAACCCACTTAACGAGCACGTGGTGGGCGCGCGTGATGATGCGATGGACGGTAGCGGTGAGAGGTGCAGAGGCGGCCGGCTGCGGCTGTGGGTGGAGCTGCTCCGGTGCCAACAGCCTGTCCAGACTCTGCCCACGCAGCAAGATACACCGTCAATGCCATACAGTATGTCAGCGTCATAACTTGCCGTCTGATGGAAGATTGAATTAAATGCTTTCATTCTAGTGAATTTATGGAAGGACGGATTTATATTATCACTGCTACAAAATCGCGCCTCCGACGATCTGTGAGGTTCGTATTTTCAGTGGTCAACTGGATCACTGATTTAGTGCATGTCGTTCTGGTGGTACGACACTTTACCACAACTGCACGGCTGTCATACACGTATGACATCCTCGCTGAATTTGGCAAGGCTAGTCTGAAAATCAGGTAGGCTTTTTCTAAATTAACACATTGTTTCGTCATTGCTTCGTGCTGGGCTCTTGTGAGAGGTGGACGAAGGACGGTACATTTTTGTATGAACAACAGCACATTCTCATATGCGATACCGGCCATATTGCACAATCAATGCTAGGCATACCAAGAACAGTGCTGCACTTTTCGTTCACCTGAAAATGCATTGAATGAGATCACACCTAGCTGGTCACCTATTATGAGGTAATGGTAATTACAAAAGTTGACAGAGACGTTCGCGATGTGGGCACTTACGAGACAGTTTTGTGGTTTATGTATATCGTGGCCTTTCCTTTGTCTCTGATGAGTCTGAAGTGATCCTTTCTCTAGGTCCTAGTCCTATAGCCCAAATAGAAATATCGACAAGTATGGTTTCGCGCGTCGCATATTCATTTGCTCAGTGTCTAATGATGTGCTGACTTTAAAAATGCTACTGAGTAATAAGAGACCACTTTAAGACTGCTGAATGTCTATTGAGTCAGTGCTCATCACTACGTGCCCAGTGTCGTGTCCAATGTCCCTTGCTCCACCGAGCCGTTTACTATCTGCCCAGCCTTGCTTCTTGCTTCTTATAGTCTTGCTTCAAGCACAAGAGTGACGCGAGGCCCTCGCCTTTACCCTGCCGCCGTCTAAAGTAGTAAAGTAGCCACCCTGAGAGTGACCGTCCGCTCTATTCTTTTGTCACCGCCAGAGTACCCCTCTGACCTGGACCACATGGGCTACGAGTCTCCGGGGCCGCACAGTCAGCGCAGTAAGCGGATGCGCACCAGCTTCAAGCACCACCAGCTGCGCACCATGAAGAGCTACTTCGCGCTCAACCAGAACCCTGACGCCAAGGACCTGAAGCAGCTGGCGCAGAAGACGGGCCTCTCCAAACGGGTCCTACAGGTGAGCTGATGACAATTGATGGTCCCGAAATGTAAAGGCAAAGGTGTATTCTCTGTTTTATGTGCCTAGTGACATTTTCAGGGTTACTTGTGGTAATCAAAAATGAAATAGCAGCTATCTTATTGGCGAAACATTATCAGTTAGCCTGATAAAATTCCATCAGACCAGTCATGGTGTATAATGTACTAGTCAGTGCTCCAATTGTCCCAAGAGTGCGCATTGTTCTATAGTTTATAACTTTTTGGCGACTGGGATGCTGCATTTTATTGCGCCAATAATGCTGTGTATGCTACACGCTACCTGTCCTTCAGCCATTTGCAAATTGGCGACTGCCATTGCACCACCATCACTTCCCTGGCTCCATCAGACAATGGCATGGCATGGTGTCTTCAAGTTAGAGAACTGACGGGCCGGCAGGCCACCGAATCTGGTAGCGCCGGTCACTGTCCGTCAATGAGCCATGAGCCATTGGTCGTTGGTCACTTATCATTGCCGACTTTTTCATTTTGCATCCTGAGTTATTCCTCGAAGACTCCCAGTCAGCGCTAGTTAGCATTTCCCATAGCTCCATGCCAACGCGCCGTGGCGACCGACCACAGCGCCCAGCGCTGGCCGTCAAAGGAAGCGCTGTTTGTCTCGAGTGCGGGCGACCACACAGCCCACGGGGACAAATCGTCTCCTCCCGGCGTCCGGAGTTGTAACTGGACCGCTCTGGAAGCTCCCCTGTGTCTGAGCGGGGTCGACACTGGACCGCCAAAGGGTCCCTGGGACGGTCCATCGGTCACTACGCGCCGCCGTCTGCCGGGGCGGGCCGGGCCACCCCTCCGGTCCGGAGGGTCGTTAGCGAGATGTGCAGCAGACGGGGCGGGGCGAGGTGTCTGGCAGGGAGGCGGGGCACTACATGGGTAGTATCCGGGGCCGGACAGGGGCTCGGCGTCTGTTGGATGTGCCGCTCGGCTGCCGGCCTCTGCAGGCCGGCCGTGAGGGGCTCCGCATCCTCCCATTGTATGGTGATCTGCTGACCCCCGGCCGTGGCTGGACACTGCTGACAGCCGCCGAACGCCGCCAGCCGTGAACAAGGCCGAGGTCAGACCTCTGAGCCAATTCTCCGAGAGACCCCGGCGTTTGTGAAATACGTTGTGCTGAGTCGTGTTCACTGCTCATTGTTCGGCCAGCAATAGAATAGCAGACTGCAGGGGACACTTGCTAAATTATTCCAAGAAGACGTTTGCAGTCGGCGATAATCCTACGAGTTTTGGAATCTGAAGCACCAAACGAGGTGTTCGATGAAGATCAGATCAGGGAGGTATGGTGTCGCGATGAAGCCTTTATAGTCCGAGCACCTCGAAATGGCTACCGGTTGGCGGGACCACCGGGCTGGACCGGGCGGTATCAGATGGGCGCCGGGTCCGCGGGCGGCGGCACCTCGGCACCTTCATTAGCCCGCCGCGGAGCTCTGGGCCGTCCTCGGCGGCCGGCGGAGGGCGCTCTCCGTCTCAGCACGGCCCTATCACCTCCCGATCGTATCAGAGTTCCGACGGCGGCGCCGCTGCTCGGCTGTCGCCGCGTCTGCGCCGCATTGTGCCGCGGCGCCGCAGCTGGCGACGTGCGCGGCGCGGCGCCGGCGGACAATGGCGCGGTCGGAAGCGCGCTCGGTGGCGGTGTGGTATGCGCCACTCGGAGCCATAATGAGCCGGCCCGTCCGCGGCGACTTTTTACGCGTCATACTTTATTTGTTTTTGTTTGAAAACGGCCGAGAGTGGCCGGCGATAAAGGAAGTGGCCCGGCCGTACAATTGAATGCGATCCGGCCGATAGGGACGTGGTTGGACAGCGGCGTTCCGGTTCGTGAGCGGGGCCATAGGGCAGCCCTCACGGCCATAGGGCGGCCCTCACGGTCACCAGCCACCGCACTGTCTGGCCAGAGAGGGGCACAGAGGCCACTGAGGGTCACTGGGGGCTATCGGAGGTCGGCAGAGCCACTGGAGGTCGGCGGAAGCATGCAGGGCCACTGAGGGACTTTGAGGGTCACTGAGAGTCATTAAGGGCCTCTGAGTAGGTCGGTAGGACCGCTGAGAGTTCGAAGACCTCCAGGGCCTCAGGAGGTCGTCGGGGTCACCGTAACCCTCCAGGACCTCCGAATGGTCGGCATGGGGTCGCAAGAGGTCGGTGGAGGCAGGCAGGGTCCGACCAGTGCCGCCGGCACGACTGTCGTGCGGCGCGGACGAGCTGAGTGATGTCTCGTCGGCCGACGGGCGGCAGTCGTCCCTGTCTATCCCTGACGCTGATGGATCGGTCGGCAGTCTCGGCGAGGGCGTGCGGCACTCCCCGGGAGCTCTCCACCCGCCGCAAAGCGGCCTCCGACCACCCCGCCCTACCCATGGCTCGTTCAAAGGGAGCTGCTGGACCAGCCTGATTGTGGGGACTGGGAAGTCATCGGGCTCAGAAATGATAGAAGCTGGCAGTGAAGACAGGCGATATCGCCCGGTCGCCCGGTATATCGCCCGGTCCGGAATATCGAGTGTCATCCGTATGATATCATTCAATAAATGATGAAACTGAACCCGGACATACACGTAACCAGCAAACGACTAACGATCGAGTATCTTCCGTCGGGTATTTACAACGGCACAGAACCCGGACATATAGTTAACTAGCAAACGATTTGGCAAAGCGGAAAGATACATACAAGGAAATCGACACACTGCATGATAATAGGCTTAAGACCCGAAGAAAAATGGGAACTTTACGTCGACTGGAAAGTCCACCGAACATACCAGATTGTTCGCTGGAATCGGGGATTCTGCTGATCACTTTTGCTGTTTGTGAGGCGCCGCAAAACATGCATTGCACCGTTTAGTCCACCATGTATCCTGTAAATTATTTACTTTTCGGCTGCAACAATGTGACATATCGGTAACAACACCTTATTAAACGTGCATCGTTGACATGTCTCGAGCCTTCCTTTCCTTTTTGGGACGGGTGAGAATTTGACGGGTTAAAAATATGCACTGCCCCGGTCCGAACTGCTCGATTGTGCGATGGGTATCGGTGCAACTTCTCACAATCGGCCGTGTTTGCGCCACCTCGGTTGGGTGGAGTCTCTATCACCACCACCATCGGACTGTATCAGTGACGCTCTGCAGCGTCGTCCGACCGCCGCCCACCCGCTTGGAGCTTAATATACAGTAAGGGTGTCCGAAACTGCAGCTGCCCGCGGAGAGCGCTGGCTGGCTTCCCTGCTGTCCGATACGAGAACGATCTGAAATCGCTGTCCGCCGCGAGACTGTCGTGTCTCTGTCCGACCAGTTGATGCGGCCACGCTTTTTGCGCTGCTGTCCGAGACTGTGTGCTGTCTGACATCGCTGTCCACCCGCGCTGTCCATCATCGGAGCCCGTGTCCCAGCCGTGCGGCTCTGGCCGTGTGGTGCCAACCGTCACCACCGTCAGTCAGTGTGACAGACAGCGGTCAGGTCCGTCGACGGATGACGCCGACGGATGACGCCGCACGCGGCGGCGCTGATAATCGCTGCTGACTGATGACACCCATCACACGGCCTGTGGCAGCCATCAGTCCCGCCTGCAAAGCCGACCGACCGGTGGCGGGGACGGACACCCGAAAACAGACGACGCCACACACGTGATGTCTTGTGACGGACGGCTGGGACAGACGGTTCCCAATTTCAAAACATGATCGGAGACGGCCGTCCAAAATTTGACGGCTTATGAGTCTCATCTTATGAGAGACGACAGACCGTTCGGCTTTGACGGCCTAAGACAGCTGGACGATTATACGGGGACACATGGCTGGAGAGGTTGGACAATGTGCCTCCGAGTCTGCCAAACACCACTCTACCACACCGAACCTGATCGTGTGTTCGACTCAGATGACGGTGTGCAAAACCTTGGTCGTCATGAGGCACCTGACTCACGCTGCCCATACTAAATACCAGCCATTTGTGTCCAGCAATGTCATAACGGATGGCTCCCTCCGTCCACAGAATGCAGAAATAAGCAGCTTTGAAATCAAGAGTCTGGACGTGTCATTTAAGAGCTTCCTTAATTACGTGAACCTCCTACTGATGCGCTGCAGTATAATTAAAAAGAGCGATTTCATACAAATAAGATAGGCAGCTGGCGGAAGCGGATTAGCCCGTGTATTGATATTCTAGACCACCGATGTCGCAGTTGCTGGTCAATCAAAGTTTGATAAAAACATCGTTATAGACAAAAATATCGAGGTCATGATTTCCGGATTCATCTGAACCAGGTGGTGTTTCAAGGAATCGCATATCGTTCCGGAACCCTGTTACCGTTTTTTTTATCAGCTCCATGCTGCTTTAACGGCCTTGCGACACAGCGCGGTCATGGCACGACCGTGTTCTCCGGGCTTTATGGCGACCACGGGACCAATTTCTGGTGGTGGACGTCACGCTTCTGGCTACTGGACAGACGGGGGGACAGGTCGGCTCACTCCCTAATGACCTCCAGCTGTAACGAGCGCATGGAAACCGCCCTGATCCATGACGGTGTGGCGTCGAGCCGTGTTTTATAGACGAGTCCGTGGTGTTGTATACGTGTGGTATGACATAAAACCAGGAGCATTCACAGCGTGTGAAAGACATCGCTTGCAACATTTCGCACTGGGAGTCACCGTCTAATGTCTCAGGAGCCGCGTTAGATCTTATCAGATATGCTTCCCAACACACGACGTGCAGTTGGAAGGGGCGCTCTGCTTCTTGTGGGGCCTCTGCGATGATTGTTCCGTGTTACCACACGATCGTCGGCTTCCACTTACCGGAATTTGAACTGCATTGGTCAACACTTTATTCCAGGTTTATTTTCTTTGTCTTTTTCGTTTACATCTCATTGCTCCGTCCTTGCGGTTCTCCCTGCCCGATCCCATATGTCGCTCGACCTCGTCCGGCGTGACCTGACCGTGTTCCTTTCCCCCGGCAGGTGTGGTTCCAGAACGCGCGCGCCAAGTGGCGGCGGACGGTGCTACGTCAGGAGAAGTCCGGCGAGTCCAAGGACGGTCTACAGTCGCTGCACGGCGACACGGGCTCAGGACCGGGCTCTGCGGGCGGCCCCGGCCCCGGCGCTGGGCCCGGCACCACCCTCGACGCCGCCACCGTCGGCTCCGCCATGGGCTATGGAGACATGTACGCGTGATGAGCCGGGACCTGGGTCGGACAGCAATCCCCGCTCCGTGTTCGGGTGCCGGTGGGTACCTACTCTGTGTCCGCTGAACGTATCATACTCGGTACTATGGTGTATGTGTCAGGAGTGGTCCACGGATGCCACTCGATGGACAAATTGGGTGTTATGTTATATCTGCGAAGTTGTTTTTCTTGCGTCTCGAAGCTCTTCGATGGCCTTCTGATCTCTACAGGCGCTTCTGTCAAATCCCTAATAGTCACTGTCTGCGTTTTATTTTCTAAGGTCCTGGTAGTCTTTTGGTATCCTACAGTTTCCCTCAAACATTGAGTATTCTACTCGATATCGGCTAACCACCCCTGGCAGGGATATTTATTTATTGACGTAGGATTTCTGCCTTGAGTGGCGTCATTCCTCAATCTTCCCTGTCTCAAAGTATATCCTCGCGACGCCCCCTAAACACCTTGTCGTTGGACTCGTGTGACGTCATATGTACGGCGGTGACGTGGAGTATCCGTTGATGATGTCACTCAGTGTGGGCGTGTCGCGGGGCCGTCGGAGTCGACGGACCGACGGCGGGGGCTCGGCGGGCCGGCCGGCGGGCGGCCGTCGGTGCGCCTGACCGTTCGTACTCCTCATGTTGAGGCGGCCCGCCGGTCGGCCCGGGCGCGGGGGCGTCTCCGTCAGTGTATGATATTGTTGACGGGCGCGGGCCGGCCTAGCTCCGGCGGGGGCCACTGGTCTAACCTCCGGCGCGCGGTGACGGCCGCCAGTCACCGAGAAACTACCTTGTTACGTGCATCAGTGTATTCGTGTTTTGTCATTTGGACCGACGCCTCGCTCGCGCCGCCGATCGCTGTAATGTATGCATGTTTGTATGTAATACAACTTGTGATATTAGATGGCACGAAGTGTATTCACCCCGATTTACTGATAATGTGACATTTTTGGAGCCGTCATGCAGTGAGGTAACGAACAAATTCAACCGTAAATCAAACCTTCACGGCTGATTAAGCTCTTTAGAAGTCCACCCTGGTAGTCGGAGAGCTTGGTATGAAAGCTAGGAGATAGAATCGAGCCCGTTACGTTTTACAGAGCGACGTTGAAATGTGTGCCTTCCTTATCCCGACCTGCACCTGCACCGAGCTGTTAAACCGCGGCTCTCCAAACTGTCTACGTTCCTACACGCTTATAGACGCTGGAGCTTAGAATCGCATCTTTAGTTCCACGAGAGCAAGAGGCTCAATATCACACGTATGCAATACGCAGATAGCATCCAACAGGTCACATTTTCTTAGCTGTCGCAATGTACGGATGCCATTCCCATGCATAATATTCCCTCAGATAACCATCCTTATGAGTGATGACCCCCTCCCCTCCCGGCTGGACCAGTCCCCAGTCACCGGCCGGTCACTTCCGTTCGACACACGGTGAGCCGGCCGGCTATCAGCTCTGATGGCGAGATAACCGAGACCGGAGCGGCACACCAATAATTCATGGCCGCCTGTCAGGCCAAGGGTTGGCCGATCCGACCACGTCCGACTGCCGACACAGATGAGCTGGCGATACCGGCCGACGGGCCATGGGAAAAAGGTGGTCTGTGGACTGCGAATGGAGGGACGTCAGCGGTCACTGGACCGTCACTGGACCGTCACTGGACCTGTCAATGGACGGTAGGGTCGCTGGATGACAGGGTCACGGGCGGGAGGGTCACTGGGTAGTGGACGGAGGTTACTGGACTGGTCACCGAGATCACGGGTCACTGGACGGCGGATAAATGTCACTGTAACAGACATCGATATAATATAGGTTATTGGACGACACATCACTAAACGGCAGGTCCGAACGGCAGGTCACTGAACGGTAGATCACTGGATGGCGGACAGAGGTCACTGGACCGATATTCGTGGCCATGACTTTGGTTCACTATAGACGGCGGGTCACTGAACTAATCACCGAAACCATCGGTCACTGGACGGCAGGTCACCGAACGATGCGTCACTAAACAGCAGGTAACTTAACAGCAAGTTATTTCGGTCAAGCTCTTTTAAAATTATTTTTTGTACACATGGGTGCACAGTGGCGGATCCAGGGGGGGGGGGGCAAAATGGGCATTTGCCCCCCCCCCCAAACGGCATGATTTTAACCCGCGCACCGACGGGGGTCTGCGCCAGCTTCGCACCGACGGGGGGGGGGGCGGATGACCGCCCCCCTGAGATCTCGAGAACGAAGCAAGATAGCGACAAGCGGTAAACGGCATCGGATACGCACGGTCAAGATCTACAATTTTTACAAAGGTCATTTTCAGGTCAGGTCAAAGATGACGTCACAGGGGTCGAAAAAGTCAAAATGGCGGCGCTAGATATTGAGAGAGTTTTTCTCGAATAACTTTCGAATTAGTCAAGATAGGAACAAACTAAGGGCATCATCGTGATCCTCTCGTCCATCCGCATCGAATGATATATATGTTGACCTCGAAAGGTCAAGGTCGAAGGTTGACCTCAGGTCACGTGACCTCGAGGTCATCATGTATATCATTCGATGCGTCTTGACGAGCTGAACACAATGAGACCATCCACGCGGCTGTATCTTGTTCCTGTACGGAGTTATTGGCCAAAAACCTTTGGTGACCTTTGATGACGTCACATGACCTCACAGCTGCCCAACAGCAAAACAGACCTCAAGGTAGTGAAGGTTGATCGTATATAAAGTCATGTATGGTACCTATATGGGGCCATTCCGACCCGTTTTAGTGGTAAAAACAGGGAGTTGATTTTCCCCCCATTGACTTATACATAGGTAAGGGGAGGTCGCGAAATTGACCTGACCTTAGGTCACCGATATCAAAATTCCGAGATATACAAATTGTAGCTACTAATGACCTAATAACATCCTGCGACTTTCAAAGGCCTCCGATATCTACTGTAGCTCTGGCACGGTGACAAATTTGCAAAAAAGTGACTTGAGGTTGGGTCATTCAAAGTGACCTGGTGACCTGACCTTAAAAGGTAGGAGGTTTAAACTTGTACACCATGTGTAAAATTGATGAGGGAATAGTCGTACCAAAATTTCGCGACGCTACGCGCCGCGGTTTTCCCGCTATTCGCGAAAAACCTCAGGGGGGGCGGATATCCGCCCCCCCCCCCCCGTCGGTGCGCGGGTTAACATTACGCCTATGGACGATGCATGGAAAGAATCGATAAATTTTTATGGTTTGCCCCCCCCCCCCCCCAAAAAAAAAACTCTGAGCTAGATCCGCCTCTGTGGGTACATATACATATAGCTCGTTCAGGAGGCGTGCAGGCCACTTTTTCGTCAGCAAATGTCAACTAGATGCACGTACGGACACGTCAACGTTTAAAATCAAGCATCGGTGACGGACAGCAGCGTCCGACCTGTCCTCAGCGAGACGTCAACAAGTTACGGGATTAGGGATATATCACACTTGCATGCTGCCGTGAGGAAAGGCGAGCAGTCGTGGTGCCATGTACGGGTCAGTTTTGAGCGTGTGCACCGGCACATTTTACAGTGGCCATGCCAGTTTCCCTGTTTTCTGTTGTGTTTGATGTCCGCAATCCGGCCTCGTCGCTCAAATAAAAAACGAAGCGTGATTGTTACCAGATAGCGCGTCTGAGTCATCCAGCAACTTGCCCGCTTTGCAACCAGAATGCGGAAGCTGACCTTTGGAGGCTGCACCACATCCATGATCTGATCTTGGACTTCGATATTGGTATTAGCATGGGTGTCGATTTGTATACCTTTGGGGGTGCTGCAGCACCCCCAATGCTCAAATGAGCACCCCCAATGGTTTTCCGGGCACCCCCAATGGTTTTGTCCCTCAATAACTCCCACTAACTCTGCTTGAGGAAAATAATTGTTCTGCAGTAGTTCACTACTAAAAATAAAACAATCCTACGCAATTTACAAGGCATGAAGTAAAGATGTAAAGAAAAGAAAAGTTAGATTTAAGAAGAAGGGCGAAAAAAGACGTTAAGTTGCAAAGATGGTGTGGGTCCGTCGTACACGGGTGTCGGACCCTTAGAGCTGCTGGCGCGTACCCTTTACAAGCCGGCAGGGGGCTCCAGAGACCGGCGACGGGCCCTCAGAGGCCGGCAAAGGGTCATCAGAGGCCGGTGGTACAGCCCACCGCTAAAGTAATGTAGGGTTTTACCAATCTCAACGATTGGCTTTGACTGGCGATTGTTTAATGCGGAGTGATCGAAAAGAAGATGTCAATAGCTAAAATTGCAGCTGCAAGGGTGACGATACATATAAGCTACATTCAAAGTTTCATTGTAGTCTGGCTAATCGTTCCTAAGCTTCAGAAGCAGAACATACCCATGACTGAAACCCCACATTACTTCTGCTGTGGACTGTATCTTCAGAAACCCTGTGGGGTCATCTTTAGAGACCGGAACGGGCTCAGGCGCTGATGGGGCCCTCAGAGTCGCCGGTGTGGGGCCTTCAAATGTCACCGGTGGCAGGGTGGCCGTCACATGCGCACTTGTGGGGCCTTCAGAAGCTACGATGTTGGGCTCTCAGAGCCGCCGATATAGGGCCTTTAGAGGCACTAGTGTGGGGCCCTCAGATATGGCAATGTGGGGCCCTCGGACTGGAGGCGCCGGTGTGGGGGCTCTCAGAGACACTGGTTTAGGGCCATCACAGGCGCGCGTTGGGCCCTCAGAACTGCTGTTACGGAACGGATCCTTCATAGGCCGACAAGAAGATATCAAGAGGTCACCGGTGCCTTCAGGAGCCTTGTGGGGTTCTCAGAGACTGGCATGGTGCGCTCAGACGCCGCTGGGACCCTCCGTGTCACCTGTGTTGGGCCGTCAGGGTCGCTGGTAACTGTCAAGGGCCCTCAGAACCGCCCATGTAGGGGTTTTAAAGGCATTGGTATAGGGCCTCAGAGTTAGGGGTGTGGGGCCCTCAGAGACGCCGGTGTGGCGCTCAGGGGCGCCGGTGAGGGCCCTCACAGTCGCCGTTATAGGGGCCCTCAGAGAAATGGGTGTGGGGACATTACAGGCGGGTGTGCAGCTCCTAGAGCTGGCCCCCTAGAGGCCGGTTAAGACCCCCAGAGGCCGGCAAGTGGCCCTCAGAGGCTGGTTTGGGGCCCTTATGGAGATCTTAATGTTAGTACTTGTGGGCCCATGAGGTGTTCTTACGAGCCCTGTGGGGCCCTTCTGAGTCCAAATATAGCCAACGTGGACCCTCAGTGGCCAATTGGCGCCGCAGTGCCCCTCAGGCCCGAATAATCCGATGGGCCCCTGAACCTGATGGGGCGGGGGGGGGGGGCTCACGGGCCCACCTGGCTACGCCACTGAGGAAAATCGTAAACCCATAAATATCGAAATGCAATCACCTGTTATTTTTTTCAGCGATTATTGTGATCGTCTGATAAACGCCAGAGCCTCGTAGCTATACCGTTGCCTCCCGCGCAATGTCCGCCCCTGCCGACCGCAGGGGCTGCTGCACCGGTGCTAATCGCGGTCATCGGTTTCTGTCACCTTATTACAGAGGTGCCGGGGCTGCTGCCGAGCTGCCGGCAAATGTACGCGTTTTTTTTTCGGAAAGATGTTTATGTAATGAGGTAGCCAAGTACTAGGACGAGCAGAATGATTTTGAAGAACGTTCAACCTTTGGGAAATATTAGTGGAAATCCCGGGATTATCAGTACTTTATGGGGATACACAACCATGCCTTGTAGATACGGTTGTGCCCCATGGCAAAGCTACAATCTTTCACCCGGTGCAGGGGTTGAGCACCCCCAACCATTTTGAAAAATCGACACCCCTGGGTATTAGGCAGTAGGCACCACCACAGGCTTTATACTTCATAGATAGAAACTTTTGAAAGCCATTGAAAACAACAGTCAGAGGAATAGAATGAGCCAATGAGTCGCTGCTC